GATCTAACTAGGCCACTACCATACAATCAAAGCAAACTGTACAAATTATCCATTAAACTCATGTTACTGATCTAACTAGGCTACTACCATACAATCAAAGCAAACTGTACAAATTATCCATTAAACTTATATTACTGATCTAACTAGGCCACTACCATACATTCAAAGCAAACTGTACAAATTATCCATTAAACTCATATTACTGATCTAACTAGGCCACTACCATACAATCAAAGCAAACTGTACAAATTATCCATTAAACTTATATTACTGATCTAACTAAGCCACTACCATACAATCAAAGCAAACTGTACAAATGATCCATTAAACTCATATTACTGATCTTACTAGGCCACTACCATACAATCAAATCCAACTCTACAAGTCATCCATTAAACTCATATTACTGATCTATCTACCATACAGTCAAATCAAACTGTACAAATTATCCATTAAACTCATATTACTAATCTAACTTAGCCTTTACCATTCAATCAAATCAAAGTGTACAAATTATTCATTAGTTATGCCAAAGTGTAGTTTGAAATTATTATCAAAAAGAGCATCAGGTGTGGATTACATTAAAAGTGCACATTTAACACACACACACACATTTACACACATAAAAAATAATATTCATGATAAGTAGCAAGTCAGAAATAAACACACACACACACACACATTTACACACATAAAAAATAATATTCATGATAAGTAGCAAGTCAGAAATAAACACACACTAAATAAAGTTAACAGAAAGAAAGAAAGAAAATGTTGCTTTTGTTGCAGTAACTTTATCGTAGTGTAGTTTTTTTATGTTTTAACCAATACGAAGAGATACTTTTGAAATGAAAAAGACATTGTGAACATGCACAAAATTCCTTAGTAATCCTGAACGTATACAGACAGAGGTTTTTAACATTCAGAGCAAATTCTCAACCCTGGTATAGCCAGTGTGTGCACTTCAGGTGTCAGTTACAAACACGAATATCAAATTCCAAAATGTGAGTAAAAAATGTAATTCTCTATTAACAGTTTTTACTGAAAAGTATTTTAGAATTAATATTTTAGCATTGTTTAATATTTATTTTACACAGACTAATTATATAAGGCAATATTTAAAAAATCCTGAATTTCCAATAATATGATAATTGTGACATTTTCTCTTCTCTAATTTATTTATCACCCCTTCAAGAAATACAAAATTTAACATAAATTACTCGTATAATGTCATCATTGCTCAGGCAAAGCATAATTTTCATAGCCTTCAATCTTATTTAGTTACAGAACCATAAGATAGAAAATCAGACCTCTCTTGCCACATCCACCCATCACATCTTCTCTATCAGAACTTTTGGCATTTAATATTATGTTATTTATAACCAATAGAAAGCCAAGTGATTTACAACTTATATGGTGCAAGTATTATTCAGACATGGTTCAACGGGCAATAAAACTAAAATTTAAGTATAAATAGATATATGCTGTTATGAGTTTAAAGCTATTTAGGAAAACTAATGTAGTTTCATGCTACACTTTGAAGTCATTCTAGAAAGAAAAAGGAGATTTATTTAAATTTTGTTTTTTTGTGGTGTAAAGATTGGTCAAATTTGAAACTTATTTAGGAGTTTTTAGAGAATACGCAAATGAAATTTGAGATTTTTGAGTCGAAGAAAGGTATTTTTAATCTTAACATAAAAATCACTTTGCACTTGGATTAGTAAAAAAAAAAAACTTGATGCCATTTCAGAAGGTGAAGTCATGGATCACTGATAAATCTTTGGCTATCATATGATGATTATTATACATTACATGATAAAGCATTGTCCCATTAGATGCTGCAGTACATGCTGCATCGTTAAGACCAAGCCACAAACATGTCAGATACTTCATTTCCATTCACATGTTACTTTACAGCAATGTATTTTGTATAATTGATTCATGCATCTTAATACAACACTCATGAATGTCTTTATGTAATGTTCATTCATGTGTGTGTAAGGCCACATATATATATATATATATTTATTTACATACACATATTGTTATATATGTTGTTATGTAAACCATAAGCTTATCACAGACTGCCTCGGTAGCCATCTCTGGTAATGTTCCAATAACTGTGATCTGTATTGTACTTCTATCTTTTCAGCCATCACAAAATAAATAATCAAGCTAGAATTCAGCAAAAGTAAGACTTTTCTGCCATAACTTTAATCAGTATAATTACTATTTGTGCTGTAACTGTGGTATATATATCAGTATACGATTAAAAGAAACATCCCCCTCATTGCATGTGGAAAAGCTATATACAGAGTACTGAAGTGTAGCAAGGATTGTGTGGTATTCTCTGTTGAACTCCTACCACTCAGCTATATCAAGCAACTCATTTTTTCAAAATGTCAGAGTGGTTTAGACCTTTCAGTCATTAATTTTTCAACCACGTGATCATCATAACGTATGATAATCGATCAGCTATCACCCAGTGTCCTATTGATATCTCTTACCTGAAACTCCAGTAGCTCAAAAAGCAAGGGTTGCTGAATGTTTTTGGTCCCATCAATCTCACAATCAACAAACCATCCTATTTGATGATGGTCAAGCAGATATCGTTCAGTAAAATTCTGCAAAACAGTTTGAAAAGCAAGAGTTGTGAGATATTTTTAGCTGAATATTCAAACCTCTAACTACTGTCTCCAATTGTGCAAACAGTGGATGTCCTACTTACTTCAACCATCCTAACTTATGAAGTAATCAAGTGGCAATCACACAGTATACATTGTACTGTGAAATATCACCTATTAACTTGGAAAATAAGGATCACCACTTCCTTTCAGTCAGAAATCCTACAATCAGAGACTATTTATAGGGAGCAAGACATCTTACCTGGACATGAGCATGTTTCACAAACAACATGTTGTTCTGTACTCAGTTGCTCTGTACACCATCATGATGTACAGTCAGTTTGATTAGGATTAATTTGGCAAGCATATGTTTGACAGTCTGTATTACTCATCACAATTGCTAATAATTGTGCAGTATCTGAATTCATCCTGCACCTCTGCTGTCACTGGCATCTGTATCTAACCAGAATTCATACTCTTATCATGGATAAGCCAGTTATTGTGGTTTTTACTAAAGCATACTTCATGGACTTGAATGCTTCCTTACAATCTTCACTACATTTGCAGTATGTTTTGAGTTAGTGAAATCTGATAATTGTGTGACAGTTTTGAAGAAATTGGCTACAAATTGTCAGTAGTATGAAAAACCAAGTAAATTGTGCCAGTTTCTCACTTCTGCTTTTTTAGTAATATATGTGGAAATTCCATTTCTACCAACAATATGATCAAGAAGTTCCACTTCTATATGTGTATTCTCCTGGTTTCAGTTTCAAGCCAGCCCTTTTTTATCCACTGGTTCTTAGTGACAGGCATGAATGTGTGAACAAATACTTAAAAGATCCTCAACATAGACCAAGCATTTTCCCTATTACAGCCCCTGCAGTGTAAGCTCCATTAGCCTCTGAAAGCTGGTTGCACATTGCACAGGTTAGTGACATGACATGATATTCATGCAAGCCATCTCTCATGCTAAAAGCAGTTTTAGGTTTGCTTTTGTCATCCAGTTCAACACCACGTCTAAAGTGCTGAGCCAGTTGGAACCTTCCCATGCATCCAGACATTTATTTGTTAACAGCAAGGAAATATGTAAAAAAATTTATTGTTTTCACCCATATAAAATCAACATAGATCCTGAACATTATTTATTCCTGACAGTCACAACTGGAAATGACCTAGCACTCTCAGAAAGTCATATTATCTTATCTGATAACAACCACTGTATCTTGGCACTGGCTACATCTCTAGTGCTCCAGGGAATTCTGCTCAACATTTGTTTAAGGTGGTTTTGGGTCATTGTTATGTAACCTAATTGGCCATCTAAACCCACAAACACATCAGCTAATTCTTTTCTTCCAACAAGTTGCATGATTTCCTATTACTGTGTTGCATGCATCCAGATTGTTTGCACAATCCTCAGCCAGTGTTCTCGGTGTGTTGGCAGCCATATACTCTTTCCCTTTCATAATTACAGATTTGCATTAAGTTCTAGTTTATAGCCATTTGCCAGAATGAAGCCAGTTTCCACTGGCCTGAATTAATGTTTTACTTGGAGGGCTTGATATATTGCAAGATATACCATTGTTCTGGCTGCTTCTGTGTGTACCAGGAAATCAATCTTACTCCATTATACATTTATAGCTAAGCACCAACTTAGGGAAGCACAGCACTCAGCTGACACTGAAAAGTTTATTGGTCAGCCCAGCTCTCTCAAGGCTGAGTGGATAGTGGTGAATGATGCAACCACTTGTTGTCAACTCTCCTACACTTGGTTGGTTGTTGGTGAGAGCCAATAACCTTTCTTGGTTTGCAGCATGGCAGAATATGGGCTCTTCACTCTAGAGTGACTCAACCATCTACATGCAAAGTAGACTCTTTGCTTCTCTTTTCCAGAACTATGTCCACATGGAGATGACATCTGATGTGGCATATGAACCACTGGAGTACTAGGATAGCATTGCTCATTCCAGTGTGGTTGTGTTTCAGTGCTAAGATGTGTGGATGTTTGTTAACCCTTGCTATGGTTTGTGCTGAGCACAGTATAGGTACCTGGGTAAGATGAAACACAAAACTGCAATATCTTGTTGTCATGACATCAAAGTTTTCTCCTTTCTATTCAGTCTGTTGTATTTTCATATAGTACTAATTTTCTCTGAGTGTAATATTGTATAATGGGAGATTCATCAAGATATCTATTGCAAAATAACTACTTTCTGACTGAGTTTATGAGAAACGGGGAAAGTTTGATCACAAATGTACAATCACAATAAACGGTCTTTATTCAACAAATACAGTAAGACTGTACTTTACTTGCCACAATGAACAGTCACCTTTACTGGAGAGTTAGGTTTGAAGTCATCTGTAGCCTTTTCATATGTTAGACTAACTCTGTTGAGTTATTGTTTCAGACTGAATAAATCTCAAGTTTCTTACTTAACCTGTTAATATCAGACTTATTGAGAGCTGCTAGTGCTATCAACATGACTGGTCATTCTCAAATCTAACCAAGAGAGGTTATTACCTCAAGAGATTATCCAACTTCCAGTGGAATAGATAATCTTCTAATTACATATATATATATTACTGTTGACATTGTATGGGAAGACAAAAGATGCTACTATAGGCGAATAATAGGATCTTAACAGTGTTCTTGACCAAAATGTTGTATGGGAACTGAATGTACCTGCAAATTTTTTTATATTAATTAAAAAGAGGTAGAAGACATATAGTATGTTGATGTATGACATGTGAGCCTCCTAAATGTGAATTTATTCCTATATTTTACCAAAATACCTAACCTTCACTGGAATTGTTCCAAACTTTTGTTGTGTTCTTGTTTAGGTATTGGTCTTTTGCATATCAGAAGTAGACTCACCTTTCTTTCCAATTATATTGTTTACCCTCCTCTGTAGGATTTTCCATACATTATTTTGGTGTGAACTTAAGGCAGTGTGTATAACCTATGAGCTTCCAAAGAGAGATAGGCTCCAGTTTCAAGGAATTGAATGGTTTGTAGGTGATAGGCATGTACATATTCAAAAATAAATCAGTCTTTCCCAATCTTAATTATTTTTAATTACTCAGTTTACACTAAATAATGCCCAGACTTCCATTAGGAATTTGATGCATTTCTTTTTCTCATTGGATGACACCCTTTTCTTTGCCCAGTATACCAAATTACTAATATGATAAACTGAAACAGTTTAGCAGTTTTAATTTTTAATTTTCATATTATACCTCAGTATATTAACTGATGCTCTTTTCTTTGATTAAGTATTGAGTTGATCATAATTATATTTTTTCAGTGGAAGTAGAAAAGGACAGTGCTCAAAAACAAGGAGGTGACTATCAGAGAATGATAAAAAAGGAAAAAACTGAAAAAGAACAATTACAGAAAAGCAACAATGAACTGATTAACAGAACAAAACAGTTAGAAATGGAAAAGGCTGAGCTGGATCGTAGACTGCAGGAATCACGAAATCAGTTGAAATGTAAGTAATTTATTTTGTAATGTGTAAATAACTAACCATACCTTTTTTGATGTTGTGCTGTGAGTTTATACACTTATCCTGGTCCATTATATTTATTTCAGTTGATTGTGCATTACCTGATTTTTCTAATGGGCAGCAATTACTATATATTTAAAGTTGTAGATGTTTCATTAACACAGTATCCTATGTGTGCAATCAGTTTGTGTTACATATGTACTGTTATGAAACAGAAATAGTTAAAATGTTGCAAAATTAACTACAACAAGATAATTAAACATTGTTAATTTAAAAAAGGAGAATGGAGATTGTCAAAAAAGTACAGAAACAAGTTCAATCAAATTTACATCCATACAAGAATCGGTGGTGATTTTTTCAATCTCACTAGACTAAGAGCTCACACTAAGACTATAGAAATGTGCATCGGAGAGTTGCTGTCTACTGATGATGTGGTATTTGTATCTAATTCGACAGATGGTCTACAGACCATGCTAGATCACTTTTCCAAAGCATCCACTGCATTCGGGCTAACAATTAACATAAAAAAGACCAAAGTCCTCCATCAGCCATCACCTAATTCTCACTATGTAGAGCCAACTGTTCTTCTCTCTGGTGAAAAGCTAAATACCGTTAACCAGCTGACTTACCTCTACAGTACAGTTGTTAATGGCAAATGCCTTGATGCAGAGCTTAACCACAGGATCCAAATGGCATCTGCTTTTTTTGGATGAAAACAGCAGGTTTAGAAACAGCATGGCATATAACCAAAAACCAAGCGTGAATTATAGCAAGCCGTGGTACTGAGCTTCTTACTATATTCAGCAGAGACTTATACACTCTGTCATTGTCCATTGTACAACTCAGAGTTTCTGAATATATCTTGGGTAGACTGAATCACTAATGAGAAGGTATTGAAGTGTGCCGATATGCCCACCGTAGAAGCTGTGCTTCTTTAGAAGCATCTAAGCTAAGCTGGTCATGTGGTGTGCATGCCAGAACATAGATTTCTTAAGACTCTACTTTATGGAGAACTTTCCTCTGGCCAACTGTGGAGAGGTGGATCAAAGCTGCATTACAAAGATGTAATATAGCATCACCTGATCACAGCTGATATACCTACTACAAATTGTGAGTCCCTAAACAAAGATTGTGACAAATGGCACAAATCCATCAAGGATGGTTCAGATATTGCACACACCAAATGTAGGTGAAGGTTTCACAGGATTGTTTTGCTCAGAGACACGCCTTGCCTAGTAAAATATCACAGTTGTGAAAAGATGTCCTAGCAATTTTGGGGCTCTGATCACACAAGTGCTAGAAGCACAGTCAACAATCCAGGCATTGATGGTTTCTTCCCTCATTCTCTATATCATCTTCGATTATCAAAGGACTGCTGACGACAACAGTGACATAAAAGTTACTGAATACATTTATACATTCATTATTATATTGTCAGTACAAAAGCGAGATAAACATTACTGGACATATTTACACATTTATTATTGTAGGGTCAGTACAACTGCAACATAAAAGTTAGTGGATGTAGTTACACATTAATTATTGTAGGGTCAATACAACAGTGACAAAAATGTTATTGGATAAGTTACACATTCGTTTTTGTTTTGTCAGTACAAAAGTGAGTTAAAACTTTCTGTATATAGTTACACATTCATTATTGTATTGTCAGTACAAAAGTGAGTTAAAACTTTCTGTATATAGTTACACATTCATTATTGTATTGTCAGTACAAAAGTGAGATAAAAACTACTGTATATAGTTACACATTTATTATTGTATTGTCAGTACAAAAGTGAGATAAAACTACTGTACATAGTTACACATTTATTATTGTGGGTCAGTACAAGTTATGTTGGCTTGCTTCTACTGTATTCACTGTCGTTGTTTTACATAAGGCTAGCTTCTAAAGTTTATAATGGTCTAGTTATTGGAGAAAGGAAAAGCAATTTTTTACTAGACAGAAACTAGAGAAACTGGTTTTATATAAAATTAAAATAGAGAAATGGAATAAATAAGAAATCAAAAATGATGTTTGGATAAAGAAACAATAAGGTGAGAGCAATTGCAGTAACAAAAACTGGACATCAACATTTTATGAACAAATGAATTGCACATTCTTTTATTGATGTTTAACAAAGCATAACACAGTGGAACAAAACCTAGGCTATAGAAACTAACTAAAACAAGTGTCACAGTTAAATGAGAATAGTCTTACAAAATAATAGGAAACTCGTAATTTATAAGCTCAACCAAATTAAAGCTCTTAGAAACATTATGATTGGAGATATATTTTTAAATAGCTTGAATTTTTCATATTTTAAATCTTTTTTAGCAAAACTCGATATTGTACATTACTTAATATTCATGTGGAATTAACTCGCTATTTTCACAGTACATACATTTCCGCTAACTATGGTTTCTAGTGAAATGAAAAGCCTTTATGAGTGATAAATGAAACTCAAACAGATATATATATACAAGCAAATAGTATTTATTCTTTAGCACATTCATGAAGCACAGCATCATTAGCAGTCTGGGTGCTTAAAGTTCTGTATCATACTGTTGTGAGTTTAGGAGGATTGTTCGATTTTATCCATTTCCACAAAGACATTTTAAGAGGGGTACGTAATGAAGTTGTGACTGTTTGTTGTTTGATATTGCTAAAAAATATTGTAAGTAATGAACAGATTGATTTACTGTTCATCTAGAAATACCTGAAGAAGGACATTGCCCATACCTTATATCTACAAGAGTATATATGTATATCTGTAATTAATACCTTGTTGTCTTTGGTGGTTTAACCTACAACATACCTCTTCTCCTTATTTTGTGGTCAGTTTGTTAACAAATTTTCATCTTTTTATGTTTTAGTTTTAGAAGATTCAAAATCAAGAGTCCTTAAGGAGTGTAGTGAGCTGAGGAACACATTACGAGATGTGGAAAAGTCTCGTCTCCAAGCACGCCAAAATGTTCAGTCACTCTCACGACAAGTAGGAAAACTAGAAATGGAATTAAAAGGTAGTAAGGAAATCAGTCAAGATTTGAAAGCTCAACAACAAGTGCTTGAAGGCCGGGAAGATAGCATGCAAAAAGAAGTTTCATCTTTAAAACAGAATGTAAGTTTATGTAGTTACTTTTTTGTATTGCAAGGAAAGCAACTTCAAAAGTTTTTCTGACTGATTAACATGAAGTGTAAAGCAGTGGTTCTCAAACTTATTTTTTCTGCCCAAGGCCTGCATCATGAATCAAACTTAGATGGCATTTACAATCGAATGTTAAAGTAATAAATAAGTATTACTTACCAGTCAGTGAGGAATGATATATTTTACCAGTGGGTGTTATTGTACCTTTTAAATTGCTTCTCATTTATTTATTTTGTTGATACAGCTTACACATTTTGCATATATATATTGATACTTTGCAAGTTTCTTGTGTCTCAGTGTTCTTGAAACACTGGTTTATAATGTACATTATAATGTAGATATTACTCAGGCACAAAATGTTTTACAGCTTTCAATCTTTGTTTATGGAGCCATGAACTAGGAAGTCAGACCCTTCTGCCAATCCCACCTGTCACATCTTCTCTTTCACAAATTACCAATAATTCTCTCTTATGTTTAATTTTATATTACCCATAACCAATAGAAACCAAAGTTTTCATCTATAAAATGATGTATTATATTACATTGTTTTCTGAATGCAGGTTTATCAATTTCTCTGTTAGTACAAGCTTCGTTCCCACAGAAATGATATAAGACTAGCTTGGATGAACTTGTAATGGTTCTTGTCGCATAGTTAGAAGGCCAGCAACATTTTAATAGTTAGAGGAAATTTTGCAGACAATTTCCTCTATTGGATGACATATTGTGTTGTTTTCTGTTCGGAGAATTGTCTATTTTTCCTCCAGTTTAAAACTTTTCTCATTGGAATGGCATCAGCAAGATTAGCTAAGTCTCTTATCACATAGTTAGGAAGCCAGATAAAATATGATAGTTATAGGACATTGTTTGCTTTGTGCATGTTATTATTCTCTGTTCTTAGGTGCATTATTTAATTAAATAAAAATTATTTAGTATGGTTGTACCATTAGTATAAAAAGTAGGTTTAAGTTTCATTGACAGTTCACAGCAAAAAAAAACAAGAGACCCAGGTAAGTACTATGTTTCTTGTTTTTCATGTGTATTCTTTATTTATTATTATAAAAGCAACTAAAATGTAAAAATTAGAAACTTATTAGGTAATATTAGTAAAACAGTAATGTGAGCAGCATGTATTGTGAGTGATTTACAACTTGTGTGGTGGAATTGTATATATTAGTTAGACATGGTTCAAAGAGAAATGAAACACTGAAATTAAGTATAAACAGATATATACTTTTACAAACAATTTAGGATAAACAGTTTAAAATATTTTAGTAGACTACATTATATCATGGTCTTCACTCTTGTCTTACCACACAATGTGCATAATAGTTTAAATGTTACCGTTTTCGTTTTACAAAGTAACAGAAGTTAGTGGATTAAAAGTTAAATTGGGTAAAGTATAAAGATGATCAAAGACAGGGCTGTATTAAAGTTTAGTGGGGCCCTAGGCTTGGTAATATTTTGGAATAATAATAATAACTCACTTTTGCTTCTATTCTGCTAGTTTTAAAAACATTTTTTTTTTTACTTGGGTGGCTGTCGGGGCCTTAGGCACGGGCCTAGGTGGCCTATGTATTAATCCAGTACTGATTAAAGACATGAAATGATTTTTTTGCCACATAAACTATACCAGCAAAATCATATTTTGCATATTTCAATAAAAGAGTACTAAAACTATCAGTATTTGAATTTAAATAGTGATCTTGAAAATGGAGACAGATGTACTCTAGATATTGTTCTGTGTATGTTGATGACTGAAGTTAAGGCTTTACTCTAAATTACACTTAGATATTGGATGTACTTATATAAGTAGTTGCTTTTGTACTTTACTAAACTTTCTTTAAAATCATATTTAGTTTTTGACTCTTATTAGTTGATGAAAGCTGAGGCCAGTAAGGATGCCTTGTCTAGAGAAGTTGTTAACTACCAGCGTAGGCTAAGTGATTTGGAGTATCAGATGAAGCTTCAAATGGAAGACCATTCTGTAACTTTAAAAGAGAGTTGGGCTACTGAACAAGAAGCTGAGAAACAGAGAGCTGAACTACAAAAAACCCTTACATTCTTAAGTGAAGAAGCCCAGAATTTACAAGTGCAACTCAGTGTGGCAGAAGAGAAAGTAAATGCAATGGAGAAACAACTTAACAACACAGAAAGTAAGTTTCTCGCTTGTGTAAGATATTGGTTTTCCTAGCTATGTAAGTAGACAAATTAACAGTCACATTTGTTCAGTTTTTCAGCGAGTTTTATGGTAGCATAGCGTAATGATATTTATGTTAATTTTACTGTAACATAATATTAAACTATCAGAGTTGATCTTGGTAACATTTTTAATTATAATTTACACATAAAAAATTACATGTAACAAAACAGTGAATTCTATAGTAGACGAATGTATTTGACTAACCTTGTGCTCGGAAGTGTGATTTTTATGGGTTGCAGTGGTGTCTGAAGTGATGTAGGCAAGAATCACAGTGTGTTAACTTTGTAACAAAGTACTTTTAGTTTTACATGTTACAAAAACTATGGGTCAGTTGGTATTGTTAAATTCCAAAAATATCGTTTATGGTTATTCTTCATAGTTATTTGTACATACACTAATTTTTGTTTTTTAATAAAAGCACATGTTAGGTTATTGAAATCCACTGATCCACCTTTTTTTTGTTTGTTAGAATTATATATTTCTTGGCACTTTTCTTCAGGAATCAATTACTTCTCTGCTGTCTGTAGTGTATATGTACTTTATATGTTGTGTATTTTATATGTCTAAAATATTTGATAAATATATCATTCATGCAAAAACAAAACTTTTTTCTACTGTATATGTATTACTACTTTTACATGTTTCTAGGCTATAATGTGACATTAGAAACATAGAAAGGGGTCAGAGTTGTTTTTAATCATAATTTGAATATAGTTAATATTTTGGATGTTAAGTCAAGTTGATTAATCAGTGATTTTCCTACATAATCTAAGAACATTATGGGTTTTGTTAATGTTTGTAAAATTATTAAATAATATTCACACATACACACACAAAAGGTAAAAACTACTGTTTGTGTCAACAATTGTGTTTTTATGTGCCCAAACGTTACTAGTGACAGTTTAAACCAAACTTAGAACATATGACGGGAATACACTAAAGAAGTGTAAATTGTTTTGGGCTTGCACTTTAAGTCACACAAAGAATTGGTTAATTTACTTGAAATTCTTCTTAGTTTCATGCAGACTGTAGGGTCTAATATAAAGTGCAGTGGTAATATTTCCAAAACATACTTCATCTCACACTACAGTTATCACTCAACTACTAGGGTTTCTTTTCCTTTGCCCATCTAAGCATTGGTCTGATTTTTCTTGTGTGCTCCAGTCTTTTATTCTACACTTAATTGCTCTTGGCAATATCTGTCTTGTGATACTTTCCACCTATGTCAATGCACCCTCTATCCTGGTACTGTATATAAGCACCTCATTAAGATAATATTATCACTTTTTCTCGAGAAAGCATTCACTAACAGGTTACCTTGTATCACGACAGTTAGAGATACTTTGTCCATTCTTTGTGTTACCTGTATGATTTTCGTAATTAAAAAAATATTTCATTTGGCAAGCTGATGTATGCCATGAATTCCCAGATTACTATTATTTCCAGCATGGAGGCAAATCAGGTCTCTCCTATCCCACCTCTGATATCTAGCATTGCCAAACATTTGAGGAGGGGGTCACTCTCGGTTGAGGCTGTCCATGACCTGAATCGTAATGAGATGGAACCATATATTTGGTCTGTTGGTGTTTCTCAAGGGGAAATCCTGGACATTCTAGAGAGAATTTAGATTTGCTTTTTTCAGCATCTTCCTTACTCCATCTGCTTCTCATGATTCCAGTTTGGATCAGCTGCCTCCAGCTCCCTTTCTTCAAAGTTCATGATATATTCATTCCTCACTGTATTTTGGCATTTTTTGCTAGGACTCTGGATGACCAAATGTGATGTTGCTGAGATTTTTTCGTGCTCTCCAATGTTATGTGGCATACAATGAAACATTTTGTGGCTCATGTCACCATTTGTTTCGACTTTGGGATCCTACTGTGTCACGTGACCTATCCCCTATCACTCTGACAGGATGGATTCATCAGTTGGTTTGTATGGCATACTCTGGATTTTCATTGGAGGAGTGGAGACTTCGTCTGGTCTCATCTCATGAAGTTCAACATATCTCGATGCCCCTAGCAACTTGGTTGCATCACTCACTGGAGGAAATTGTACAGGGTAGTAGAGCACACCTAACACATTTATATCTCACTATTTACATGATTTAGCAGTCTTCTCCTCGGATGGGTTTTGGCTACCCCCTGTGGCTATTCACCACACCCGGCTTGATAGCAAAAGTGGGGAGTGACTTCATTTTTTCTGTATTAATCTATTTCTTTTCAGGGACCCTCTCATCATTATCATTTGAATCCCACTCAGTGGTGAGTGTTGCATGTTCAGGTATGTTTTTCCAAATCTGCACTAGTTACCAGTTGACTAATAAATAAATTTTTTGGTAACAAAGAGCTCTTTTGAGATGGAGTGTTCCATAAGACCACCTTGGCACTTTCTGGGTGGTACACAATTATTCATTACCATACATAATATACAATACTGGACTGCCACTCATGGACTATCATGAGTAAAAGATAAAGGGATCTTGCCCCTCCCTGCTGACCCCTGAGTTGAATATATCTGGGTTGGTTTGCTTTTCAAAATAGGGAATGTGGCTCACCTATTGCACCATATCTGGAGCATTGTTCCTTGGGGCTCCCCCCATTTCTCTATAATGGAGCATGGGAGTCCTTACCACTCCCAGTTTTCAGTTGCCGGAGCGGTGAACAGAAGTCTATTCCTCCTAAGTGATGTTTGAATACTTTTTTCCACTCAAGGAGAAGAGAGCAATGCTGGATACCCTTCTCCCCCAAAACCCTGGCTGGTTTTCCCAGATGTCTGGTGGGAGCAGGACCAGCATATGCAGGAGCTTCCTCATAATTCCAGTTCAGAGATGACACTTTACTATGCAGTTAGGTTGAGTGTGGTCTTTTTGTTTGGTCATTATATTACTTTCCATGATCATGGAAGAGGGTCCTTGACTTCTTGTAATTCTGCACACGGAGCATCAAGTTCTTGAGCCATTGGTTGAACTTGTTTTGTTCCACATCCTCCTCCTAATTCCAGGAGCAGGGGTCTAGTATAAGGTGTAGTGGTAATATTTACATGAAAGAAGATATAGTTCTGAGTTTTATACAGACTGTAGGGTCTAGTATAAGGTGTAGTGGTAATATTTACATGAAAGAAGATATAGTTCTGAGTTTTATACAGACTGTAGGGTCTAGTATAAGGTGTAGTGGTAATATTTACATAAAAAATATAGTTCTGAGTTCTATTCAGACTGTAGGGTCTAGTATAAGGTGTAGTGGTAATATTTACATGAAAGAAAATATAGTTCTGAGTTTTATACAGACTGTAGGGTCTAGTATAAGGTGTAGTGATAATATTTACATGAAAGAAAATATAGTTCTGAGTTTTATACAGACTGTAGGGTCTAGTATAAGGTGTAGTGATAATATTTACATGAAAGAAAATATAGTTCTGAGTTTAATACAGACTATAGGGTCTAGTATAAGGTGTAGTGGTAATATTTACATAAAACAATATAGTTCCGAGTTCTATACAGACTGTAGGGTCTAGTATAAGGTGTAGTGATAATATTTACATGAAAAAAAACGTAGTTCTGAGTTTCATACAGACCACATAGTTTGGTATAAAATGTAATGATTAACATTTGCAGGAAATATATTGTTTTGAGTTTCAAACAAACTACAAGGTTTCATATAAAGTATAGTCATTAACATTTAGAGAAAAAATATGGTTTTGAGTTTCAAACTGGGTGCAAGGTTTGGTATTAAAGTTTAACTAGCTATGTCTTTTTTTATTTCTAAAAGATTTAACTTTGTGTGAAGGATTCATATTTTATTAAAACAACCATGATCTTTTCCTTTTTTTGTCCTGCCAGCGTAGTGTATTTTAAATCATCTCTAACAGTGTTTGCTGAATTGATACATCTGATTATAGAGAATATACTTTGATGAAGCATTCCACTACATTGTCCAGAGATCTTGATTTCACTACAGTCAAGTGATGTGAGAATAGACACAGAACATTTTCTCACACACATGAAAATGACAAATCTAAAAAAAATTAGACAACTAATTTTAGTACAAATTGTTTTTATTTCTGATATCATATATCTGCTTTTTTTAACATTGTGGTTTTCTTACAAAAAGTATCTTGGAAGTAATGAGATTACATTTTTGTCTGTGAGTTAGTGTTTGTCTATTTTTATTTTTAAGATATTTTAAGTGTCATATATTGGTAGTCAGTTTCACAGTAGAACCATTGTCTATCCATTGGTGTGTTACTTTCCACTTGGGCTTGCCAACATAGTATCAGTTTTACAGTAGAACCATTGTCTATCCATTGGTGTGTTACTTTCCACTTGGGCTTGCTAACATAGTACTAGAAATAACAACATTTCCTTTGGTTGTTTTGTTATCAATGTAAAAAGTACTCCTCAGCTTCGGAAGATACAAGTTCCTTTTTTTAAACAACATATGACAAAATTTCAGTGTATTGCCAAAGATATTAAATAGTTGCAAAGTTTAAAATTGATTTTATAGTATGTTTATTCTCTTCTGTGTTAGATTCCAAAAAGGATATGGTCAGAAAACTTGCCAGCATATATGAAGCTTTGTATTATTATCTTGGAATAAAAATGGATGAAAGTGTTGGAGCAAATCCTTTGTGTCTTCCAAGTGCAGGTTTAATACACCAAAGCTCCCTGGTTAAAAAATTTGCTAATTTTACTGTAAGCAAAGCCTGGACAAAGTCTTTTTCCCCAAGGAACAAGTCATGTTTGTGGACCACAGCCGAAATGGATGTTGATCTTGTTCGTTCAGCTCTGAAAGATCTAGTTAACAAATTACACAGTACAGAGAAAGACAGAGTATGTGTACTTGTTATCTTTATTACATAGCACATTAGAATAAACAGTAGCATGAGTCTTACAATTGATGGATAATATATTTAATACATTGCATTATGTATGTATTTGCTAGTTTTATCTGTTGCGCTGTATTAACAAGTTCTTTGTGAAGTTTAAGCATATGTGTTTTGAGTCCTATATTGTATGATATAAAAGTACAAAAAGTATCATACATTTCTGTTTATGAATATGACATTGACTCTTCTGTTATACCTATTGAAAGTATGATACCTTTTTTGGATACACAATCCATTAGTCTGACTCGTTGATGATGCATAACTTGAAGGTATTTTCATTACTTATAAATGGGCAAATAGGCTTCCTCCATTTAACGTATGTAAAGTACAGGTAACTAATATGGAAAAGCGTTAGATTAGTCCTTACAATCACATTTTCGATGAATCAAGTAATTTTGCCTCTTACATTGTATTGAATCATGCACGAGAGGAAAAAGCATATAGGATCCCAAAATCAATTCAAGCTTATCAAAGGATTAACTTGGGGGGTGTTGTATATGCATTTTATATTATATTGTTTTTCATTAACTGTAGTGGAGAAAAGTTAGTTAAAAATTTTTCTTGTTAAAATTAACATAAAATACAGAAATATATTGTAGAATTAAGCATTACTGTATTTGAAGTAGTGCGTGTATATAACGTCATAAATATGTACAGAAAAAACTAAACCTATAATGATGTGAATATGTTGATTCATGAGTTGGGTATTCATGCTGTTAACAATATTTTGACCATAAACCCATTAATATCTTCTGAGGTTTAGCCAGCTAGGAGATTTAAGTTATCTCATGAGGTTTAGTCAGCTAGGATATTTAAGTTATCTCATGAGGTTTAGTCAGCTAGGATATTTAAGTTATGAGGTTTGGTCATCTTGGAAATTTAAGTTATCTCATGAGGTTTAGCCTGTTAGGAGAGTTAAGTTATCTCATGAGGTTTAGTCAGCTAGGAAAGTTAAGTTATCTCATGAGATTTAGCCAGCTAGGAGAGTTAAGTTTTGAAGTTTAGTCAGCTAGGAGAATTAAGTTATCTCATGAGGTTTAGCCAGCTAGGAGAGTTAAGTTTTGAGGTTTAGTCAGCTAGGAGAATTAAGTTATCTCATGAGGTTTAGCCAGCTAGGAGAGTTAAGTTTTGAAGTTTAGTCAGCTAGGAGAATTAAGTTATCTCGTGAGGTTTAGTCAGCTAGGAGATTTAAGTTATCTCATGAGGTTTAGTCAGCTAGGAGATTTAAGTTATCTCATGAGATTTAGTCAGTTAGGAGATTTAAGTTATCTCATGAGATTTAGTCAGTTAGGAGATTTAAGTTATGAGATTTAGTCAGCTTGGAGATTTAAGTTAGTCTTTAAACCATATTCCAAGCTAATGCTAAATAATTTTATTAAATGTAATAATAATATTCCAGTGTTTTTGAACTTTATAAAGAAAAATGCATTCATTTCCAAAACACACAAAAACTAGTTGGTAGTTCCTAAAATCTAGAGAGCTTACAAATACACGAAACTTAATAGTAGTTTTAATCAATAATGTAATTGCAGTAGTGCATATTTAACACAAAACTGATCAAAAATACAAAAATATGCTTAAAAGGAAGGTGATGACTGATGAAAACTGACACCTTGACCCCAAAAGTGTAATTAACTTGAAGTCAGAGAAAAATGGTTTTTGACATATTATTCTTTATCTGTAGAGTTGGTAGTGGTAAAATAGAAAAATTAAACTTTGTGTGTATCCATATACGTACATATATATATAGGGAAAGTAACAAAGTATAAAAACTGATTTAATGGCTTATATGATACAAGTCCAATAATTAAATTAACCAAAGTAATGAAATGAAAAAGAGTTACAGAACTTTCTGTGAGGAAAGTATAGAGATATATATTAGATACCAAAGACATATCTTTCACACACAAACATGGTCAAGTTTAGGAATTACTTCTATTAATAATAGCATCATTTCTTTTTTTAAGTGTTAATGCTAATAAATTTTTAGCTTAGAAGTTAAAAGTAGCCTCTTGTTTTGTTTTATAGGCATAGGTGCACTTAATGTAGTAAACTCTAACAAATTCTAAAAACATTTACAGTCTAAAAAAGTGTACACACAAGTTTAAGCAAAAGACAAGATACTGATATATAAAAATATACCCTCTTTTTTTATATTAGAGCACAAAATCCATGAGACATTATAGGTTTTTTTGTCAGTGTTAAAGACACAGTGGCAACAAAGACCTTTAATTGTGTTGTTTTATCCTATTAATTATTAATACTTATTTTAAAGTAATTATGGGTTCAGCATGTCAAACTTTATTTTGAATGGTACTGCTTTGGTATACAAATACAAGCTACCCCCACTCTCTTGTATTATATATTTCATTTCTACAAACATTTTAATTTTCTTAAGTTCCAGTTATGGTCATGTTGCTAAATTCAATCTGAGGTTTATGTTCACTCAAAGAACTTAAATAGTATTTCATGGAATAGTTACCTTGTGTGTAATACGTTACCTTGTGTGTAATACGTTACCTTGTGTGTTATACGTTACCTTGTGTGTAAGAGATTGTTTTATGAAGCACAGGTACTTCTGGATTCTTATGATCTATTTTTCTCATTGGTCAGCTACAAAGAGCACGTGAATTGTGAAAGAAGGTATGATGGTTTCAACCAGATTTGTCTCTGTCTGAAGAGGGGTAAAACTTGCTTGTGCAGTTTCATTTTTGTTTCCTTTATCCTTCAATCTGCTGATCTTTAGGCTTTATTGCTAATTCATTCTCAAGTAAAGTTTATTTTCATTTACTTTTCTTTAAATATACCTCTTTTTATTTGCTACCCAGTTTTAATACCTTTACCAAATTTACTTCACTTGTCAATGCAGTAGTCTACCATAAGTTGATCAGCCTTGCCCTTCAGAAAATAGTGTTTCGGTTTTACTTCAATACCATACCTTATCTCTCATTCCAGGTAACTGTGTGCTTCTCTATCCTTGAATGAACACACTGCTTTTTAATAATTTCTTATCATGTTGGAATATATTTTGTTTTATTTCAGTATTTTTCACTGAACATTTTAATGACCAGGTTATCATGCAGGAAATGTTTTTGTGATATAAGTGAATTTAATAGACGTTTGTGTTTTTAATTTAGGATAACTGGAAGTTTAATGCCCATCGATACCAACACCAGCTAGATGAGCTTAAAGAAGAACATAGTAATGTCACTTCAAGATTGGAATTACTACATAAAAGTCTTGAAGAAATACAAAATGGTAAAACTCTTTAAATTTATTCAAATAATCATATAACAAGTTTGTGTTTTACACTTGCACACACTTCACATGTATATGACCAAAAGTGTACATCCTATTTGAACTCGAAAACTCTTTCGATGTTCTTACTACTGAGTAAGTTATTTAACACACTCTTATATCAGCTGTTTGACTTTTGAACTTTTTGCCAGATGACGACTTTTGAAGAGTCAGAAACTTTGTTGCTGTTTTGATTGATAATTTTACATGTAACGAAAAAGTCTTTTCAAAAAAGGAAGTAAATGTAGGGATGGCTAATATCAATCCTTCAAAAACAATGCAAACAAGATAGTAAGGATTGCATTTGCATCAACCCTACATAATAGCACAGGCACACAGTGTAGGAAAATGTTAACAGACAAAAATAGGATAAATTGAACTCAATTGTGATTGAATAGTTATAGATATTGCTATATGTTAATTCTTACCTGT